TCTCTCTCTCTCTCTCTCTCTCTCTCTCTCTCTCTCTCTCTCTCTCTCTCTCTCTCTCTCTCTCTCTCTCTCTCATGCCGCGACTCCAATCCATGATCGAAGTAGCCGGTGGCTATGACAGTGGTGTTCGTGGTTGTAGGGACACGACTATGGCGGTAGGCGGCGGCATGGCCATGGTGGGTATGGTGGGAGTGATTATGGTGGTTGTGATGGCGGTGATGGGGTATGATGGTATTAGGTCAGGTCTATAGTGGGAGGCCGACAACTATGGAGATTAGGGTTTAATTTAGGTTTAGGATTTGGTGGGGACATATGATTTTTTGATTTAATGTCTCCAAATGTCTGTGAGTGACCATGTGTGTCTAGTGGCTATGGTTCAAATGAGGAGCTAGAGTTTCAAGAATATGTTGCCACAGATAATTGTGGTGATTACAGACTACTATGGTCTTCTATTGATGTCTATAGATGACTACGGTTGAAAAAAAGAATTCAAATTTTTTAATATTATGTAGACAAAATGGGGGTGTGGGAATGGGATTTTTGTAATAGTAAAAATGCTTGACGCAAAAAAAGAGAAATTAATAATAAAAATATTAGATGCAAACAAGAAAATGTAAATGCAGAATAAAAATACACTTTAAATATTACTTGGTATATATTTCATTTTTTGTGTGAATGGCATTTTTAGAGTGAAATTTGTAGAAAATGTGAAACAAATGTTTAGTTGGACTTGTCATTTTGCTTTAATAAGTTTTTATCACCAGGAACTTATATCTCAAGGTCCTTTATTTATATGTATTTAAAACAAAACATGTGTATCTCTCACGCCCAAATTGGACTTTGGAACATTTAAAAAAAAATCTTTCAAAAATCATTTCAATATGACCCCCTATAAAAAACATATCACTGTATATCCTCCCTTATTATATATCGTTTTAGGTGGTTACGCGTTTATTAAGATAGTCAATAAATATGCATATATTATACCAAAAATAACATAGTAAATACTGAAATACCTTTGTCATTAATCCTTTTTTAATTATCTAATTAAAAGTGGGGACAAAATTGATAACAAGTAATTCATACCTTATTAGAACTCGAAAATGATAATTTTTTTGAAAAAAAAAAAAAAACACCTCAAAAAGACATATAATAATGGATATAGGAAGTATATTCAAATATTTGACTACATATATATAATAGTATAATACAATTCAAATTAACTAGGGCGGTGCACGGGTCTTAAACGCGCAATTTGAACCAATCTTTATCCATCAACCCATTGGTCTTTATTTTAAAAAATTAAAATAGTGAATTTTAAGCGGATTACAACATACGAGTTAATAACGGGTTCGTAGTACTTAATGAATCTAAACTCACTAGTATTTAATTTTTTTTTTAACTAATCCACAACATGTGATTGTGAGATCATGCATATGTGCAATGTGCATTGTTTATGAATGTTATAGCAAATGAAATATTGAAGTGAACGACTTTTATTGAAACCTAAAAAATAAGAGGAAAATTTGTATGCTTCATATAGCAACCTAAAAAATAAGAGGAAAATTATCGATTATGCAATACACTAACGATTCATAAGGACCACAGTTTGTTTTTTCTACCTATAAAGTTCTTCTTAACCAGAAAAATAAACATTCATCTTGCTTAAAATAGTATGTATTGATTTTAGATGACAATACATATCTCATAACACATAAGTAATGGCGAATCCAGAATTTTATAGCCAAGGAGGCTATATATACATTAAAATAAGTAAATTTCAGGGGGTTTAGGGACTGCGTCCACTAAATAGAAAATCAAGAAATTTTTAGGACTTTTTATTTTTTGTATTAATTCGGATTTTTGATGGACT